TTCTTTTCTTAGGGATATTATCCGACGTAGTTTCGGTTATGTTAGTTTCTAGAGAATGATGGAGAACATAGAGACCATTCTCAAGTTCTCCGTATGCGAGGAATTTGTTATTTCTTTTGACAGTAATCATATTACTAAAGAGAATAAAATATCCATCCGCACACAGTTTTGAAACAGCAATCAAATTTCTTCTCAAAGTGGGTACATAAAGACAAACTTTCAGTACAATAATTCATTCTCTGAAAACTAACTCTATAGTTCCTAAAGTTGTAGCTGCAACACTAGCAGAAGTCCCCAAGTAAAGAGTCACCCCTCCGTCGCTCAGTCTTCTGCTTGTCCTGAATCCCTGTAGTGAGTTACACGCATGAGTTGAAGCCCCGGAGTCAATACACCAAGAAGCGGAAGTAACAAACAAATTGGTTTCTATGAAAAAGGTTTCGAAATTACCTTGTTTCTTGGTCTCCAGGTACTGAGGACAGTTCCTTTTCTAGTGGCCAACCTACTTGCAGAAGTGACAAGCATCTGATGCTTTATCCTTCCTCTACCTTTTGGACTTGGTAGCTTTCTTCTTAGGCTTTTTCTTTGCCTTCTTCTTCTTCTTGCTCGATTTACCAGCTTCAACAAGCATGGCAATGGGCTCATCCTTCTTTATCAGTTCCTCGGCCCTCTGCAACATATTGTTGAGTTCTTGGATGCTAACATTTAGCTTATTCATGTTGTAGTTCATGATGAACTGATTGAAGGAAGGAGGCAAAGAATTTAGAATGCCATCCACCTTGGTGACATGATCAAGCCCGGATCCAAGAGCCTTAAGTTCATTAATGTATTCCATCACCTTAAGACAATGGTCATGAACTTGTTGGTTCTTGGACATCTGCGTGGTCATGAACTATTTCAAGACCTTCTGATCAGTAGAATGATTCTGTTCCTCATACATCGTCCTCAGACTATCCAATATATCCTTGGAAAATATGATATGATCGAACTGTCGCTGTATCAGATTATCTAAGGAGGCTATGATGTAACAGTGGACAAGGGAATTTTTCTCTTTCCATTCTTGATAGTCCCTCCTACGGGCCTCAGAAGCCCTATCACCCGGACGTTCCGGAGCAGGGTTTTTGGCTACCTTGTCCAATTTCTTGGACATCAGGACCAGCATAAGGTTACGGTACCAGTCAACGTAATTTGGGCCCTTAAGTTTGTTGTCGTCCAACAACTTAGCAAATTGTCCGTTTGCCATTTCTGATGAAGGGCAAAACAAATATTAGTCAACAACCTTATTTAATTCATGTTATCTACATAGATATGAATTATGAATTATGTCTCTAGGAATGTGGGAAATCACATAGGGTGCATGGAGCCAACTGTTTCAGTTGCATAACCCCACCACCTTTCTATGTGGGAAATCACATGGGCCTCAGTCAGACAAGGTTCATTGCCATTTTAGGTTAAATTTTTATGTCTAGTGAGTGCTTACCCATCATATTCGTGAACACCAAGGTACCGTGAGAGAGTCTTCCATTTTATGATAGGCCCCTCTCACATCGGTCTATGACGCCCCTATCATCTTATGAAACAATTCAACAGATCCAACAACAAATGGATAGCCCAATTTTATGGTGCGTTTTCTCATTACTAAAGGACCCATCTTCATGCTAATGATGAAAGGCCTTTAGAGAGTTCATCATATGAATCTCCCTATCACATGCACTCATATTTCAGTGGAGAGAACGAAATATTATGCCTTAGTTTAGTTTAGGTCAAACCAAAGTGGCTCCCACTAACATTCATAAAGATAGATTTAGGTGAGCCCTAAACGACTAGGGTTCCGCATGGTTCCTCTTGGGGAGGTGTGGGTCCCACCATGAAGGGAGATCATCCAATGATCTTTAAGGACACCATGGTAATGATGTGCATTCAGCCATGGTGTGCGCAGGAGCCACTATCGTATCAGCATGGGCCAGTTACTTATGGCCCATGAACGTTGCACATCACACATCCATACATCACATGCAAGAAAATTATAATTGATCCAATCAATTAAATAACTGTAAAACCTATGATTAAAGCCCATAATAATTCATAATATTACTAATTAATATCATCTAGGTATATGGGTTGAATTGCAAAGAGCAGTTCAGCCCATATAGCTTTTATGTTGAAATGGGCTAAAGAAGTTTTAACATATTAAAACTGGGTTTTACAGGTGTGGGCTGAATTGCATCTTGCAATTAACCGTTAACTCCTTGACCCATTAGTGAAAAATTAGGGCTAAGAACAGCCCCCATCGAACCACAGATTTGCTACTAAGTAATTTTTGGTACACAAAATTATGTGCATCTTGAACTATAGCTGTCTATTTATGTCAAATAAGCTAATAGATAAAAAGATATGTTACATATAAGTGTCCTTAAGAATCTGTGCAGTGTTGAACTTCATGCATGTCTGACATAGATACAACATCCATTTAGGAGAGTCTATGCAACAATGATGAGAAGGCAAAACAAAAGTTAGATCGCAGCATGTAGTTTCCAAAACTGTAACTCGCAGATGGCCGAACCCTAATCTGCAAAAATGTCATCCTTGCGTTTTCTGCTTCAACTTCAAATGAAATAAAATAGAAAACCTAATTTCTATTAATATTACATTAAAATTGAATTCCTATACATTCTATCTAAAAATAAAAAAAAAAAATTATTTACAGACCAAGAATGTAAAAGAACAACAAAAACACAGATTTCTTGCGCCATTAAAGATTTCGATCTCCACCGTACGAACAACCCAAAAATCAAGAAAAATATGCAGAACAATTCTAAATATAATTCAGATTTATAAATATTTAATTTCAGATCAATCGCCCAAAATCTAGGAACCGATTTCCCAGAAAATCGCTAATCTGCGCAAATCGGGTAGAACGCCTTCTGCCCATTTGCGTAGTTCCAGATCTGGTTAATTTTGGTTCAAGATTTGAACCTGGTTCTGATACCACTGAAGGGATGAGAGATCCATCATATGGATGGCCGAAACCTGTAGGAAGGTTGGGCGAAATTTCAAAAATTTCTCTCTCCTACGTGGGAATTACATTCCCTATTTTAGAAAACTGTTTTTTCAATGATCAATCTTGCACCTAAACCATACCAGATCTGAAACCAAAAGGGAGTGGAGGGTTATACCTGATACGAAGTAACAATAACCTCCAATGAAGGTGTTCACGCCCAAGGAAAGATTCAAAAACTGCTTCCACCAAAAATGACACGAAACATGATGAATTCTTCAACAAGAACCTGAAGGAGGGCTAGTGAGCATGACTTCTGATTACCTTTTCTGCCAAAAGGTAATATCAAGAACACTTATTGATCGCTCCCATAGGTGGAGATCGAACTGGTATGGCAGCAAGAGCAAGAAAGAACAGAAGACAGGAGCAATTGAACTGTAGGTTCTCTCTTTGTAATCTCTGAACTGAGAATTGTGTTTTGGAGGTTCTCCTTGCTCCTCTATTTATAGCATTTAAAGAGAGCATCTCCTAATCCCATTAGGAGTTTCCTAATCCAAATCTTGTATTTGGATTTGGACTCTCTTTAAAGAGATGCGGATAATTCGTTATCTTATTTGTAGATAAATATCAGCCCTCCTAATCTAATGAGAAGTTTCCTGATCCAAATCTTTATTTGGATCAATACTCTCTGAGTGGATAGGGATAATCCCTTATCCTATCTGCTGATCTAAATCCCCGAACTGCACCTTTTTAATTAATCTCATTAAACTAGTTCGAATTGGGCTTTAGGCCCATTAAGTCCATCTACTCACTTACTATCCAAGCTGCTACCCAGTTGGATATCCTTGTATGGCGTGGGACCCAAACATTAATCTACACGTGCTACATGGGTTCAGCCCAGCCTCTGTTACAAGGCCCGATTGAATTCACTGTAGGAGACAGTGAACCCCTGAGTTCATTACCATGGGTTCTTAATGGGCCCAACATTTACACTAAATGGTCATTGGGTCAAGCCACCTTATAAAAACCCAAGGACTATGGGCAGATGCAAGATTAGCCTATCAGGTATTATCCTCAATGGTCTTACACTTAACCTCTCAGCCCATAATGATCAAACACTACTCGACAAGAGATGACCTCTCCCTCGGCTGCAAGGTACAGTGCTACACCCTCTACTCACATGGATCCTAGGAATTAAAACATTTTTGCAAATATTTTGAAACCATAATATATATAAGTATATATCTATATAAATATATTTTGCAAAACAAATTTCAACGGTTGAAATCGACTGCTGGCAATTTTGGTTTCCATTAGAGAGAGTGCATCCCTGATCATTCACTTTGTCCGACAAAGGGACTGATCCTGTCACTATGATCACCCACTCAGATGAATTCTCGGACTGCCCCAACATACCCAGGTTTTGACCCCCTCTAATGATCTCACTGATCAGCATATCAAAGATAGTCTAATCCAACACCTAGTGTAGTATCATAATCGAGTCTAGGGGTCAGGTGTAACATTCGAGTTTTGCCCATCTATCTCCAAAGTCCATGGCAATACTGGAATTCTGGTCCGGTTTAGGGTTTCAAAAAAACCCACACTGCATGTACCTCAGGTCTCACCCTGGTAGCTGAAACAAGCCACCCCAACCAACTTGGCGGTACATCAGTGTCAGCCATGGCAGGATAAATCTCCCCAAATCTATCCAACGACTGTGAAAATTCTAAACTAACACGAGTCTCATATGTGTCYAGTTTAAGGGTATTACACAGAAACACACCATGATAACTTGAATCAAATATGTAGTTTATTCATTTACATTAAATGTCATAATGTATATCATTCTGATTGGAGCTAAGGGCATACATTGTCTTACAATTAATTATGCCATAATGCTCTGACCCTTGTAGAGTTGGATGCCATGTTCTTGAGGCAGGGTATGTACATGATTTTTGCTATCAGGAAATCGGTTATTTGCATTTGGTGAATTAAGACAATAGAATTGAGGCAGAAGCAGAATTAATTAAATTCCAAATTGACTCCTGGAGTCCAAAGAAAACTACATTAATTTCTCATCTGTGACCAGCTGTGACCATTGAATTTTTGTACCGAAGTTCCATTAATTTCTCATCTCTCACTACTCAAAAATCAAAATGTACGTTCACTTTTCATTTGTATTTTCAAACTCCACAAAGTAAAAGTTGAAACAAAAAGTAAAACGAGGGGAATGCAAAACAATTCGCACCATGAAGGTCTGAGTAGCAGCAGCTTCTTAATTATCTTCCCCTCAGTAAGTTCTTCTCTGCTGTGTCCATCTCTTCTAAGATCCTGGCTTTGCGCTTTGCCGGAATCGGAGCCGTGGGGCCAAAACTAATATAATGCCCAGAGACTGCATTGAGCGCCGAGTAGATGTCTCTGAAAGAAGGCCGACCCAACAACGCCTTCTCTCTCCTATACTTGGCCACCCATGAATTTGAGGAATCTCTGAGGTCAGCCACGGCTGCAGCTACATTAGGATCCGTTTTGTTCAAGCTGATGGTTGTTCTGATCTTGTTGATCACTTCCTCAGTTTCCTTTATATATTCTTCATCTGAAGCGGCTGCTGCTGAAGATACCGGAGAAAGCAGTGCTGGGGACAGAACTCCGGCGGTGAATGCAACAAATTCTCGGCGACCCAATTGGGGGATCGTTGTTGTGCGGCCATTGGAAGGGCATGCGGATGTAGTGGTGGATTTGGATCGGAGGAGAGCAAGTGGTGGTGGCTTGGGTTTGGTGGTTGGTGTAAGGAGAGTGGGAGAAGACATGGCAGTTTCTCAACTGGGGAAGAAAAGGCAATGAAAGGATCGATTGACGGATGGAGATATTGAGATGCAGAGAAGTAGGTGGGTAGTTCGTTGTTTGTAGGGAAGAGGGAATGGTGGTCAGTGATCTGCCACATGGACTTATCACCTTATCCGGTTTGAAGTGCAAGGATGACAAAACGTCCAATGAAATACACAGGATTTCCTACTACCCTCGTTCTCTGCTTTCTATATATTCTACTAACCCAATCAAACTCTACCAGGTGTCCCCAGGCATGTGATAACTGATAAGAGTTCCAACTCATGTAACAACAACAACTAACGATGTGTAAGTCTCTCCGTTAGACACCTTTTCTTAGGGGTGAGCAAAAAAGCCCGAAAATCGAATGGAACCAAAAAATCTCGACCAAAATCGAACTGAAAATCTGGTTGTTCGGTTTTGATTAATCTTTTAAAAAACCGGTGATTAATCGGGCTCACCATTATATATATATATATATATATATATATATATATATATATACATATATATATATATATATTATGTATTATATATTATATTTTTATTTTTATTTTTTTAAATTGAAATAAACTCACTGTTATTTGACTTTTTGAGTTTTTCTCCTTTCCCCTTCTTCGATACCTAAAGGCCAATACCAAAATCGAAAACCCTTACTTTCCTCTTGTTCGTCTTCCTCCCCAGTTCCCCTTACTTTACTCTGGCACTGGTTGTCATCTTCCATCGTTCAACGTTGACATCGGTCGACAGTCATCCTCCAAAGGCCTCTCCCCTCCCTTCTCTGTTACGACCACGCCAGAAGGCCTAGAATTGAGAACTCTCTCTCTCTCTCTCTCTTGCCTGTCATCTCCTCCACGTTCCGCAGCAACATCGGTCACCAGTAAGCACCAATCCACCAAAGCCAAGCGCCAACTACTCCCTCTCTGACGACACCTATCATCTCCGCCACCTCTCACTTTAGGTTCAGGCGACAACAAGTCTGACACCAATAAATCGGCCACCACTTCAGTGTTCCTTGTCCAAGTTTGACCTCAAGCCTTCATCTTGTTTAAGTTTTTTTTTTTTTTTGCATAAATATTATTTATAGTGTTTTTTTTATTTTTTTGCATAAATATACAGGCCTTCAAACTTAAGCTTGTTCATTTATAGTGTATTTTTTTATTTTTTTGGATTGTTACTGAATGAGTCAATGAATGTTGATTAATAGTTTAGTTTGTTTTATTTTCATTTCATCTTATTTGAGGTTTTTTATGCATAAATATTAGTGTGTTTGTTCATTATTAATGTATTTTTTTCATTTGTTTTTGGATTGTTACTGAATGAATGTTGATTAATAGTTTAATTTGTTATATTTTCATTTCAGCTTATTGTTTTAGGTATTTTTTTTTTGCATAAATATTAGTGTGTTTGTTCATTTATAGTGTATTTTTTCATTTTTTGGATTGTTACTAAGGCTGCGTTTGGAAGAGGTGTAAATACAAAATTACACCGATGTAAAAGAAAAACGGTAAGATATTTTAGTGCAAAAGGTGAACCAGATAGATGCTACTTTTACATTGTTGTGCGTTTGGAAGAACAGTGTAAAATGTGAGTATTTTCTACATGCGTTTGGTAGAGTGCAGTTATTGAAGTCCTTGGAAGCTTGGAGCTAGAACACTTTAAAAACATCGCCGACATCCTCCACCGATAACTGCCGGTTGATACCAATTTTATAGAACAGGAAGAGGCCTCAGAAGCTTGGGGAGCTTTAACAATGCCGTTATTGAAGTCCAAATCCAGGGCATCAAAGTCACGATCAACATCACCAGCACCACCGTCGAGTGCAGATTTCGAGTGCATCAAAGATTAAGAAAACGAATATGAAATTCATGAAGGTCACTGAAAAACCTTTTCAGTAGCATGCGAGTGAGATTTCGAGTGTAGTTTCTTCGATATTGGCTAGGTAGGCTTTGAAGGATTTTACGCCGCATTCGGTTCAGGTTTCGCAATGGTCTGAACTTCGGATCTTTTCCTCTTGAAGTAATCACTGAAGAACAAGAGAACAAGAAGACCTCCGAGCACAATCGAAAGTATAAAATCGGAAGAACTAAAAACCCTATAAATGTTGAAGGTTGGGATTCAGGCTCCATTCTTTCTCTTTTATTTCTCTCGTTGATTAATCACCAATCTGGCAATGTTGACTGATTTGCTCAGCTCGTTTCGTGATCTGTTGTGGCCTAGGAAGCATCGACTGTGAAAAACCAGCCACCAGCAACAGCAATTAATTTGAGCAGGTGGCGCAATGGGTAGGCGTGAAGGAGTGGAAGAGAGAAGAGAGAAAGAGAGGGAGGGAGTGGAAGATAGAAGAGTTTCGCATGGAGGATGCCGGCGAAATGGAAATAGGAAACTTGACGATGGAGGATGTCGGCGGAGGATGATGGCGAAAGAAGCTCGATGGTGATAGAGTAAAGGAAGAGAGCCATTGCTTTATTTTTATACCAATGTGTCACGGTCTGATACAGGCTTAGCCATACCTATGCTTGGCAAACATACGTTAAGGGACACCATCATCATCTTCGCCAGTAAGATTTTTGGGAGAATTGATGTTATCTTCGGGCAGACCACCAAAAGCTTAACGTACTCTTTGAAGAGGGGTGGTCGACCTCCTTAGGTACCTAACCTTGGCACTCCTAGACCATCATCCTTTGCAGGGCGGCCCTAGTTAATGGCTAGCATGGCTACCACGGTTCCTCATGGGCGCACACATGCTCATGGGGATAGTGCATGGACCGGCACTGCGCTGCCGACATTCAAGGAAGGCTTGTAATGCGGGCTTGGCTCAAGCATGACCCTTCACCACGTCAGCCCCTCGCCCAAGCAAAATGAACTATCCCGTTGCCCCTAGCGCACGGGTGTGTTCCGACATAAGCGGTTGCCTCTCATCATGGCACACAAGTGCCCACATCATCGGCATACAGGAGACCCATCATATCAGTGCCCAATCACCTCTCATCGGCGTCCAGTCGCCTCACATCATGGCCTTCCCTCTTTAGCACGTAAGCGATGCTTCCCATAGACCGGCCAGAGCCAGCCGAGTGCCCCGACCATGCGAATTGAGGTCATGATCTAGTGTTACTGACCTTGGTGGAGCCATCTCATCGGGCAACTCCTAGCCTCCAAGCACACAAAGGCTTATCCTGGACAACACACGGGTTTCTTCCGATGTAAAACTACCCCCATGAGTTGGTATCAGAGAGAGTAGCCAACTGCTGCCACAGTTGGTATCAAAGAAGATTAGCACAGAGCCAGTTGAAGCGGTCATCTCGACAAGTAGCACATCATGGGGTGCGGTCCCTTGGCACTTCCACCTAGGCTCAAGCAAGTAGTGCATATCAGGCCTGGCAAGAGGCCATTCATCGTGTCCACATTCCAATGACCCCAAAATAGCGCCCTTGCGGGGGCAAACGCATTGGTTCTTGTGCTCATGCGAGGGCAGACGCATGAGCCTTTTCATGGAAGGCATATTGTGGCAGTTTGAGTGGGGGAGTACCATGCTTCCTCACGGACATCAATTGCTGTTCATTTTGGTGAGGTGTTGGGCGGTGCGCCTACATCTTGGTTTTATGACGGATGAGCCATTGTTCCGTAGCTTTGTCTGAGGCACTACTAAAGTGGGGACAACCGTTCGAAATTGGTTGGTGTCGATGGTTGGTCAAGGAATATCACTGAAGTGGCAGTTTTGCATCAAATAGGTCCTCGGTTGAAGCCACAATATTGGAATGATAGGAATGTGGGTACACTAGCCATTGGAGCATGGCAGCCCTACATTGTCAATGTATCAGAGGACATGCTCAGTTCAACAAACAGGTGGAACACTTGTAGCAGCAACAGCTCATCACAAGGCGAGTGCATGTTTGGCAACATCATGGGTAAAAGTTGCCACCACTCGCACACAAAGCAGTCAGATCTCCTTGAGGCAGCAGCACATTGGGGCCCCCTCGGAGCAAAGATGTATCCCGTACCGGCGAGGTGAAGTGTAGTTTCGAGGGCTAATAGAGCATAAGCCATGGTTAGGTTTGAGTAACCCGAACACAGTGAGGTGAAGCTTGCAGGCCAACATGGTGAAAAGGTATACCCAACACACATCGCCAACAACAGGAGTAGACCTATCACATCGTCTTCGGTAGCACCACCGAAAAGCTACCAAAAAGATGGTCGAGCCTTGAGGTAAAGATGATACATGGGCGGACCTCCACGAAGCACACACACATCCAATTTCTTCGAAGGCCCTTCTCACACAATTTCAACAGCATAGCCATTGTGCAGTTTGAGTAACCTCAACACAGGGGGTGAAGTCTAGGCAGGCCAGCATGGTGAAATGGTTCCATCCCCATAAATGGACACCAATATAGGCAAGACCCGGGTTGGCTAGGCATGAAGGGATTAGAGATCCATCAGATGCATGGTCGAACCCTATAGGTAGGTTGGGCGAAATTTCAAAAATTTCCTCTCTCCTCATCTAGGAATCACATTCCCTGTTTTAGAAAATTTACATTTTCAAGGATCAATCTTGAACCATAAATCAAACAGATCTGAAACTAGAAGCAAGAGAGGGATATACTTGATACGGAGAAGCAGTATCTCCCAATGGAGGTGTTCACACCCAAGGTAGGAACTAAAGACTGCTCCCACTGAATATGGCGCAGTGTATGATGGAGCAAAATCAGCAGTGTTCTTCCAAAAGAACCGAACCCTTCACAAGAATTCGCTGGAGGTAGTGAGCACACCTTCAAATCAGTCTTTCTGACTGATATCAAGATCCAATCTTGATCGCTCCTACAAGAAAGAGGAGATCGAACTAGCAGTAATGGCGGCGGCAGGAAGGAAGCGGCAAGGAGAAAACAGCTCAGTCCCACTGGGTGTTGTGCTCTCTCTCTGAATTTTGAATGTGATTGATCTTCTATAGCTGCTGCCCCCTTTCTCCTTTTATAACCATAAAGGGATCAGCTCCTATTCCCATTAGAAGTTGCTAATTCAAATCATATTTGGATCTAAATTCCCTTTAAAAGGATAGATCCTTATCTTATC